GCTTTACAGATCAAGCCATTGCTCTGCTTTAGCATGGTGCCTTAGAGAATATTGGAACAATGATTTGTGTTCACAGTGAATTTTAAATTTCGCCAGTCAGCAGCCGTGTTATTCTTTAATTCTTTACGTAGTGCCTAACACAGTGCTCCTGGCCCTTGATCGAAACTTTGATCTTAATTAAGTACAGAAATTAAGACTTTGAAAATCTTAATGGGTTTCTTTTTGCTTTTTATACTTTGATTCCCAGAATTAAATTTAGTGTGTGTGTTTGTAAAATAACCTCCTCAGTGTCGGTGTATGTTTCAGTCTCCCCTTCTCCACCCCCTCCTGTCTTTCCTTTCTTTATATCTTTAGGCCACAGATCTTTTCTTGGAAAATGAATCATTTATAAAAATGTATTATTTATGTAAACTAGAAATGAAACAGCACACTGGGAAACAACTTTGGCTATGACAAAATTAAAGATCGTGATCCTTTGGCTTTACCAAAATGACAAAATTTTATATCACTTCAAAATCTAGCGTGTAAAAAGAAATAATAAAATGTAAATACCTTATGCTATGTAGGTGGATAGGGCGCTCTAGTGACTTAGTGGTAAGGAATTGCACTACCAAGGCAGAGGTATGCAGTTCAAATCCAGCAGCTGCTCTGTGGGGAAAAATGGGCGGTCTCCACCCATGCGATTTACTGCCTCCGAAAAGCTACTGGGGGATCAACTATATATTGATTCCAACTCAGTGGCACCCAACAACAATAACAAAGTTAATAGAGCGTTAAGTAAATCATGTAGATAGAGAATTATAGAACTAAAATGCTTTCCTTCTCTTAACAAAGATTTTTCTCAGCATTAGGCATGAGGTTATACATAAGCAAAGTCAAACTAGAGGAAGATAAAATATTCCCCCCCAGGGAGCTCTGGTGGGCTATTGGTAAGAACCAGTCCTTCAGTCCTGAAGGCACGCGGTTTGAATCCACCAGCATTTCTGCACGGAAAAGATGAGTAATCTCCTGCCATGAGATTCACTGCCTCTGAAGCTGGTCGGTTATGGGTAGGTTCCGACTCTGTGGCTCAGACAACAACAACAGTGTATATTAGATCTACATATTTTTAAAAAGAACTCGTTTTCTCTGCCTGTTAAGGAAAAGCAGTAATTCACAGGAAGACCAAGGACCATCTTTAAAAAGAACTACATACTGAAAATTCTATAGACCATCTTAAAGATGATCTTCAAAAACAACTGTGGACTAAAAATTCTATTGGACTGAAAATAGGCCGTGAGATCTTTTATGCCTTGGTCAACTGCCATTGCTCTTTGATTATTTTTACATGTCTACCAAGTCATTACCGGAAAAGTGTTCTGAAGGATGTTTTAGCCATAAATATGTATAAACTCTTGAGCTCTTGAAAATGAACGTTCTGATTTCTCTCTTTCCTCTGTAGAGTGATCCCTCCATGTCTGTCATCTCTATATGTGCTTTTTTGCTTTTATACCCAGTTTCTTAGAATCGTCAAGAAATACACACTGTTGTTGACTTTTTTGTTTGTCTTGTCATCACATTTTTCTTCCAGATTCAAAACAAACCAGAAAAGAAATCCGGAACCCCACTCCCGCCTCCGTCCACCCCTCCAGGTGGTCCCCAGCCTCCCTCCCCTGTTCTTCATGTGAACAACGTCGTGAACACACCCTTGTCCATAAACATTCCACGGTTCTACTTTCCGGAAGGGCAGCCCGGTCCCTGCAGTAACCATGAACAGACTCTGAACAGAATCGAGATGGCTTTCATGGACACTGAAGACCAGAAAGCAGATATATACGAAATGGGAAAGATTGCGAAGGTAATGTACTCACTGATTTCTAGTCAGCCTCTCCCTCCCCCTTCACTGCCTTATTATTCTCTTTTTAAAAATACGTAAGGGTTTTTTTCCTATGTTCAACAAAATGTTTTTGACCTTGTTGTTTCTGTAGTAGATTCTGAGTTAAAAGGCGGGGGAGGAGGGGGGGGGTCGAATCTGACGCCAGTCATGGTCTTGCAGTGTGACTGTCCGTTCCATAGAATCCTGGCTGTGGTATCACTGATACGTAAAGTGATTCTTTGAATCAGTGACTGGACGCTTTACCGCTTTGCCACGTAGCCCATTAAATAACCCTACTTGGTTTTTTTTTATATCTCACTCTGTGAGTATAACTTTTTCTCTCAAGGAACCATCAGGCAAAAAATGCACATGCTTATGAAAGGTGATACCAGCGTCCAGAACTAAATGAATTTGCCCCTCGGAAGCAAATCTTTTTGGGACTTCCCAGCCTGTTTCCTCAGCATTCACTTACCCTTTGCGGTCAACTCAGAACTGACTCGTGACTGACCTTCTGTTGGGTTTCCGAGCCTGTAAATTGCATGGGAGGCCATTGCCCATCTTTCTCCATCTAAGGGACTAGTGGATCCAAACTGCAGTGCGACTCCTGGCAAACTAGGCCCCTGTTGTGTTGTGCTGTCCATCCGGAGCCCACCCAGAGCTGACCCTCCAGCAGGTTTTCAGAGGCGGTTAACCACATGGGAGAAACTGGCCCGTCCCTCTCCGGCGGAGCAGCTGGTGGACCCACAACACATGCCTTCGAGATTGTAGCATCACTTCTTACCAGTAGCCCTTTTAAAGGCCTATTTCCACAAAACTCACCCTTATGGTCCAGTTTTTCAGACAAGCGGTAGACAGACCAATAAAGTGCACAGTAATACCAGGGAGGTACCCTCCTTAGAATAACCGGCTACCTAAGGTCAAAAGGGCAGCATGCGCCCGAGGATAAAGCCCAGAATGCAAGAGGGGGTACAGGCTAGAAGAGTTAAAGGAAACAAGATTCCCAGTGGGAGAATGAAAAAAGAATGATTACACTGTAGGTCTTGGAATCAATATAATAAAACACAGTGTGTACAAATGGTTGAATGGAAAATGAGTTTGCTTTGTAAACTCATTCGGATCACACACACATACACATAAATACTTTGATCATACTATTTCAGAGACATCTCCAGACTGCCCATTGCAGTTATGCCCGGCCCTATTATCTATTTCTCACCTCACAGAGCTTTTGTAATTGCTGTTGAACTGTTTCTAATTAGAGCGATTTCAGGAAAGATAAAAAAGGGGTTTTTGTCCGTATTCCTAATCTTTAATATGCCTCACATTAAATTAATTGTGCTTCTTGGTCCCTCAGATATTTCTAGAAAAAGAAACACTTCTTTCCATAAGTAAGAGCTCGTGTGTTTTCTATTCCAGTTTACATGTGAGGACACTGATGTCCTACAAGTATTTCCCCACAGTCAAAGAATTTGTTCATGTCAGGAGACAAGTAATTAGGTCATGGAAGGAGACCTAGCATGGTGCTGTATTACTATGTATTACCTTCTCCGCACATAGCCTGAAATGCCACTAGCTGACTTCCAGTCAACATCTACCTAAATAAGTTGTGAGTTCTTGTAGACCATTGGCTTGTTTTTTTAGTTTTCGCCCAAAGCATTGAGGAATAATTAATTCTATTAGACAACAGGACTAAGATGATAAACTGCCCAAGGTGGAACTGTGAATTCAGATTCAAAAGATGAGCCTTAACCAAGATAAATGAAGTCGATACTTGGAGGTAAAGTGTTAGCTGCATAATTGTTGCCCGGGGATACCTACAAAAGGCAGCAGTTGATGCAAAAAGAGTTTTCACAGATTGCTGCGGGTAGTCAGACAGGGAGGAACTGTCCATGAAGGGAGCTGCACAGAGCAGTGCTGGGCCCACCATGGGTGGAGAGGCAACCCAGGGGACTGGTTCTGTCCAACTGTCACAGGCGTGTCTCCAGTCCACTCATTGCTGTCAAGTCGGAACCAACACAGAGCTCAGCTGCCGGCAGGTTTTCAGAGGATGTAAATCACACACAGCATAGTCCTGTCTGTCTTCTGTCGGGCTCCTGATGAATTCAGACCACCAGAGAACAGGGCCTTTGGGTCAGCAGTGCAGCCCACCATGGACTAGGCCACCAGCACCCCGCAGGCCATTGTGGTAGTCGTTTAGCATCAAGTGGGAACTGATGCATAGCTGACCCTCCAGCGGGTTTTCAGAGGCTGTGAATTGTGTGAGAAGAGTTTGTCCATCTTCCTCCTGCAGAGCAGCTTGTGGACTCAAACCCCGTGCCTTTGGGTTGGCAGCACAGCTCCTTACCCCTAGGCCACCAGAGCTCCCTCACAGGACTACGTTGTTGTTGCTTGGTGCCGTCAAGTAGGACTCATAGCGACCGTGTGAACAGCAGACCTGAACCCTGCCCTAACCTGTGCCATCCTCATCACCTCTGACACACTAGAGCCCATTGCTGCAGTCACTGTGTCAGCCTATCTCGTTGAGGGGTCTTTTCTCCTTCATTGACCCCCCATCTTCCTAAGCATGATGTGCCTTTCTAAAAATAGCCTCTCCTATCTAAAAGTCCAAAGTATGAAAGACAAAGCTTACCGTCTTTGCCTCCAGGGAACACTCTGGCTGCACTTTGTCCAACATGTACTCATTTGTTTTTCTGGAAGTTCATGGGATATGCAGTACTCTTCTCTAGCACCTCAAGTCAAAAGGCAACAGTTCTTCTGTCATCCTCATTCATTGTCCAGCTCTTTGATGCATAGCAGGTGATTGAGAACATGGCCTGAATCGGGTACACCTTAGTCTTCAGACTGACATCATTGCTCTTAAAGTATTTTGGAGAGGTTCCTGACACAGATTTCCCCAGTATTTTGGAAACAAATCCACCCTTCTTCCTTACTCTGAGTATTCCCAGTCCCTGACTGAGAATCCTGTTCCCTGTGTCTTTCTACTGTCCTGGCCCCACATCCTTCCTGGTGTGCTTTCCCAGTCTAGTTCTATAGTGCCTTCTCCTCCTCAGATCACTGTGCTCTGGATACACAAGAGATTCAGGCCTCAGAGAGCAGAAGGAACTCCAGGATAGTGAAACGAGATACAAGGAAGAAGAGCGCTGGTGGCTTGTTGGTAAGGAGTCAGACTGCCAACCCGAAAGCGTGCAGTTCAGATCCAGCAGTTGGTCCACAAGAGAAAGATGGGCAGTCTCCTCCCGTGTGATTTACGGCTTCTGAAAACCCACTGGAGGGTCAGCTATGGCTCAGTTCTCACTGGACAGTATACAACAACAACATAGTCATGTCGGGAAAGGGACCTCTGGATGTTTGGGAATCATAGGAAAGATTGCTGCTTATATATAGTGAATGTTCATATCTAACTTCAGGGGGGAAAAAACACCACCATTTTTGAAGTTGGTAATACAGAAAAGTTGAAAAAGATAGAAAACAGTTTGTTTAGCTGTAATAACAGTTATTTACATAACACTGTGCTATTTAGCTTTTATAATCCTGGGATACGGTGGCCATTATAGCTGATTTAAATACCTGATTAATTTGACTGAATTATACTTGATTATAGTTCTCAATTCTGCTCATGAGTACCAAGCCTTTGTAATTCATTGCTCCTAGAGTTTCTTTCCCACTTCAGGTAGCAACTGAAATTGCCTATACGTTTAGTAAATGAGCACTCACATTGCCTATAAAAGTAGCAAGATGCTTATAATGACCTCAGAAGATACCTTGAGTTTATTGGTTAGAGCTGTTTTGTTTTTTATTATTTATCAGCTCATTGTATTGGATTTTATTTCTTCTCTCCGTTCTTAAAATCATTTCCCCACCCCCCCCAAAGAGACAACTAGTTAGACTTTCTAGATGAATGAGGCCCATTCAATGCAGGTTTTCCTCAACCATGATGGCCGATGGTATTCCTGAGTGTGCTAACAGCAGAAAGGTTGATGGTTCAAATCTACCCAGAGGTGCTTTGGAAGCCTGATGGTCGACTTCCTAAAGGTGACAACGTTTGGAATGATGATACTTTGCAAACATGCACTCAAGGTGAACTGGCAACAACATGGGAGTCAGTTAGAACTCGCCAGGCCGGCTTTTCTTCAGGCTTCCTTTTCACTGGGTGGGGAAGTCTGTCCACAACACGTAGGCTCTTGCTCTAAACCAGCCCTATGAAGGGCTCCAAGAGTCAATGAATTACTATCCAGATGCAATGCTCCCACCACGGCAACAGATTGGCATTAGAAATGGAAAACTATAAGAAGCAGGGAGAAGGGGAGCTCTGGTGGCCTAGTGGCAAGAAGCTGCACTGCAATCCCAGAGGGACACGGTTCGAATCCACCAGATGCTCTGCCGGAGAAGGCGTAGCAATATCCTCCTGTACCAGTCAGATCTGATTTGACGGCACACGCACACAAAATTAAAAAAAAAAAGAAGCAGGGAGAGAAGAGGTTGACCAGGTTGCTCCCGTCCAAATTTCTTGTCCTAGACTGATTGATGCACTTCCAGGGTCCAGGGCTACATCTGTCAAAACTTGTTAGTTGGTATTCAGTCAATTCCTGGGGCCTTAATTTTTTGTCAATGTCATCAGTGCAGCTTGAACTTCTGCCATCGTTGGTATTGGTTCATAATCAAATGCCACTTCCTGAAATATTCCTGTGTCGACCAATTCTTTCTATCTTCTTTGGATGTTTCCTGCTTCAGTCAAGATATTGCCCATTTACTCTTTCATTATTACAATTTGAGGTTTGAATTCGTTCCTCAGTTCTTTCGACTTAAAAAATGCCGAGTGTGCTCTTCCCTTTTTATTTTTCTAACTCCAGCTCTTTGCACTTTTGTTATACTGCTTTGCTTTATCTTCTCCAACTACCCTTAAAATCCTCATCTTTTTTACATCAGCCTTTCTCTCCTCTGTATTGTCCTCTGTACATTCTAGTGGCATTTTCACAGTCTCTTCTGACATCCATTTTAGCCTTTTCTTTTTCCTTTCTCTTGGCGATGACCTTTTTGCTTTCTTCATGGATAGTATCCTTGATGTCATCCCACAACTCATCTGCCCTTTGACCTTAGTACTCAGTGCATAGACTAGCCCAGCTGTATTACTTTAAGTCGTCCAAGTGAGTGTACTGTCTCCACCTTTTGCATCCATTCATTCGCTCATTTGACATTTTTCCCTAAGAGCCTAGTACCCTCATGCTGCCTACCTGGCTACTCAGGGTAACACCTACATAAAAAATGGGTAGGTCTTCCCCAGTCTACTTCATAGCCTATCTTTTTGTAGTTTATGGCCTCAGAGACTTAGCACTCACTGTGAGCTGGTATTAAATTAAAGTGTTTAATAATGGAAGTATCTTACAGGAAGTAGCAAGCTCTCAGTCCCTGGAAGAAATTCGGCTATGATAGTGGCCACTTCCTAAGACTAAACTAGAAGATTTCTTGACCTTCTGATCCTGAGGAACCATGAGTGACTGTGATGATGACAGCCAGCTCCAGTCTCTCCCAGCACTTTCTCTTGTCTTCATCAGACATACCATTCTTTCAACTTACCAGCAGTTGTTACTCATCTATCAAATCAAACAGCATTTTTTTTCCTTGTCAGAACCACCCTTCTGCATGCAAGGAGGAAATTAATTTGGGGGGAAATTAGACCTGGGAGTTTTCTCAACCAGAGTCTACTAATTGTGCACTGTGGACCTTGGCGATCATAATTTACCCAGTAAACAAAAAGCCACCTTGTTACTAAGCAGCGCTTTCCCCCTTCTTGACTTGTGGAGCTATTTGACCTCTGGACTTAAGAAATCTGAAATTCCACCATGCTTGCAGAAAATGATTTAGTAGCCCTGGCAGCTCCAGGCCTGTATTTCTGCCCTGTACTGAGTTCCCTTGGCTTGAATCTCACCTTCTATATCTGCATCTCATCTCTAGCCTGAATTCAGCCTTAGATGTTCTCTGTTCTGGGGATACTGTATACATGGGCCTCATATCAGGAGCAATACCAGCTGATCTTCATGTGAAAGCTTACCTGGTCTACACCCGGAGACCAGCCCACTCTCTGTTCAATGGTGATGACTTCACAGATCCTATATTGTTGTTGTTGTTGTTATGTGCCATCGAGTCGCTTGTGACTCATAGCGACCCCATGTACAATATCTCTAAATGCCGTTCTATCCTGTGCCAACCTAGCCATCTCAAATGCACTCATTCCCACTATTCCAGTCACAGAATCGATCCATCTCATCAAAGGTCTTCCTCTCCTTCGCCGCCCCTCCACTCTGCCAAACATGATGTCCCTCTCTAACTCTGCCAAACATGATGTCCCTCTCCAAGGACCAGTCCCTCCTTGCAACATTCCCAGAGTATGTCAGACAAAGCTTCAGAATGCTTAACTTCAAGGAACAGCCTGGCTTTACCCTCTCCAGGACAAATCTGTTTGTTCTCCTAGCAGTCCATGGTATAGTCAACACTCTTCTCCAGCACCACAGCTCAAAGGCATCAATTCTCTTTCTGTCATCCCTATTCATTGTCCAGCTCTCTGATGCATAGCACGTAATTGCGAAGACTATAGCCCGGATCAGGCGCACCTTAGTCTCCAGCCTGACATCGTTGCTCTTCAGTACTCTTGAGAGGTCCCTCACAGCTGACTTTCCCAATGCAATTCGTCTCCTGATTTCCTGGCTGCTGGTACCAAGAGTGTTGAGTGCAGAGCCAAGTAAACTAAAACTGTTAACTATCTCAACCCCATCACCATCCATACTGATGCTGCCAATTGGCCCAGTGGTGTAAATAATATGAGTTATTCTTAAATAATAAGATGTGGCTTTTTAAAAAGTTACAGATTTGAGAGATGGTTTATGTTCATATTCAAAATTAAAGAATATCTGTAGACTATTTTTGTTGTTGTTGTTGTTGTTAAGTACCGTCGAGTCATAGGTGACTCATAGCAACTTCATGAACAAAAGACCTAAACACTTGTATAATTTTCATCATTTCTCCAAGTCTATAGAATTTCCGGAAGCAAACCATTTTGGAAGTGGATGCCACTCCTGCTTCCAAACTTGTTTTAATCGGGGAGCTCCACCAAACACCGTCCACCATGGGTAACCATTATCGCATTTGACACATCAGTGTCACAGCGTTCAGCTTCACAGCAACCACAAGTTACCTCTGTACAGCAATGAACAGGCCTGTGCTACACCTCTTAGAAGAATGTTTGACCAAAAACAATTTAAACCAGGCCTGAGGGCCTCAGATTACACCCACCCACCTTGGGCTTGGTAGCATGACTGTCCACTAGGTCAACAGAGCTCTATGTTGTCGTTGTTACTGTTGTTAAGTGTCACCAAGTCGTAGATGACTCATAGCGACCCTATGAACGAAAGACCTGAACACTTGTATAACTTCCATCATTTCTCCAAGTTAATAGAGTTTCCTTTTTGCTAGGATTCAGGTATCTTTCTATTACTGCATTACTGCTTGTAGAGAAGAGTTTACTCTTTAGTATAAAGGCAGGTTTGATAAGAATGCTTTCGTAAGAGTAAAGAATGCTTTCGTAAGAGTAAAGGATTTGTTATTCATTGAAGAACTTTTTATTGAGGAGGGAGAGAAAAATGGCATTTTAAAGTACTGAAGTTGTATTACATTCTAAAGTACTGCAATTGTAGTGCATTCATTCCTAGTTCTTTCTGAGGCTTTTCTGATAATGTAGCCATTCGTGCTAGCTGCTAATATATAAATATATGATAGCATTTTTATTTTTGCCTTTCATCTTTTAGCTGACTTGTAACCACTGAAGTTACATGTAAGGGCTCCTTGTTTTCCACAGACTGAGCTTTGCTCCAGGGGAACTCTGGTGGCTGTGTGACAAGGAGTTGCACTGCGAAGGTAAAGGCACATGGTTCAAATCCACCAGCTGCTTCATAGGGGAAAGATGGGCAGTCTCCTCCCATGTGGTTTATATCCTCTGAAACCTGCTGGAGGATCAGCTGTGAGTCAGTTCCTACTCAATGGCACGTAACAACAATGAGTTTTTCTAGTTCTTCTTTTACCTGAGACTTAATAGGTAAAGAAGAGTGAGGGTGGGAAGTGAAAGAGTGCAATACACCAGGTGACCAAGTACTAAAGGTGTCATAAGGGAGCTCTGGTGACCTAATGGCAAGAAGGTGTGCTGCAGTCCCAAAGGTGCGTAGTTCAAATCCACCAGATGCTTCACTGGAGAAAGAGGAACCATCTCCTCCAGATCCGATTTGACGGTACACAACAAGAAAAAAATAAGAAAGATAGCTGTATTTTTGTTGTTAGGAGGAAGGGCGTATGCACCCATGATATTCACTCATTCCTGTTTCTGTAGATGTGCACCATTGAAGCAGAATCCACCCATAGCTGACTGACCCTCCAGCATGTTTTCTGAGGCAGTAAATCGCACAAGAGATTGGCCACCCTTCTCCCTCAGAGAAGCTAGTGGATTCGAACCACGTGCCTTTGGGATTGTAATGCAGCTAAAACATATGCTATGAGATGGGTTGTGTTTTTGTTTTCAGAAAGTGGCTAGTGGTCTTAACTTGACGGATAAGAGAAAGAAATATGACCATAAGTAAACTTAAGAGGAAAGGCGAACGGGTGTCTTCACCCGCTTTCTTCTGAGTGTATATTTTGCTTTTGTTTACTCCCTGCCTCTGTCTCTACATGGACTCCAGTAGCTTGTGGCCCTGGGAAGCTGTGGTGGCCTATCAGTAACACGCGGCACTGCACTCGCAAAGGCACGTGGTTTAAATCCAACACCTGCCCCACAGGAGAAAGATGGGCAGTCTCTTCCTGTGCAATTAACTGCCTCTGAGAATCCACCTGAAGGTCAGCGAAGAGTTGGTTCTGACAACAACAACAACAGCACACGGCCCTGTTTGACCAGGCCTGAGCTGTAGTCTGCCCGCTGAGCCATGGCCGTGGCATCTCTTCACTGCCTGTTGACTGATGTGTGTTTTTCATTGGCAGGTCTGTGGCTGCCCTCTCTATTGGAAAGCTCCTATGTTCAGGGCCGCGCAGGGAGAAAGGACAGGCTTTGTATCGGCCCAGGCATTCCTCGAGTTGTGGACAAAGTGAGTATGTGGGCGGTCCTCCCCGGGGGCTAAGCAAAGAGCTGTGTGGTCCTCACGCAGTGCTCTGCAAACGTTTACGCTCTATGCCTTTTCCCTTTGAGAAGTAAAAGTCGGTGACTCACATAGTTTATACCCACAGACAGGTTCTTTGCCATTGTATTTATCTTGGTAGGTATTCTACTTTGTAGAAATTCCCCTTTACTCGCTGTGTACAACTTTCTTCATTTACTTCATCTTGTTAAATTTGGGCCTCATCCTTTGAATGTGGCTGCAGAGATAAAGTAAGAATTGTCCTTGAAGGGGAGCAAACTGCATGTTTCATATGTTGTTGTTGTTGTTATGTGCCATCGAGTCTCTTGCGACTCATAGCGACCCTATCTATGTACAAGAGCTCTATACGCTCTTCTATCCTGTGCCAACCTAGCCATCTCAAACACACTTATTTCCACCACTCCAGTCACAGAATCAATTCATCTCATCGAGGGTCTTCCTCTCCTTCGCCTCCCCTCCACTCTGCCAAACATTATGTCCCTTTCCAAGGTCCAGTCCCTCCTTGCAACATGCCCAAAGTATGTCAGACGAAGTTTCAGAATCCTTGACTCCAGGGAACATTCTGGCTTCACCCTCTCCAGGACAAACCTGTTTGTTCTCCTAGCAGGCCATGGTATATTCAACACTCTTCTCCAGCACCACAGCTCAAAGGCATCAATTCTCTTTCTATCATCCCGATTCACTGTCCAACTCTCTGATGCATAGCATGTAATTGCGAAGACTAGAGCCTGGATCAAGCACACCTTAGTCTCCAGTCTGACATCGTTGTTCTTCAGTATTTTTGAGAGGTCCCTCACAGCTGACTTTCCCAAGGCAATTCGTCTCTTGATTTCCTGGCTGCTGTTACCAAGAGCACTGACTGTGGAGCCAAGTAAATTAAAACTGTTAACTATCTCAATCTCTTCACCATCCATACTGATGCTGCCAGTTGGCCCAGTGGTTAGAATCTTTGTTTTCTTGATGTTGAGCTTCAGTCCATATAGGAGGCTGTAGTCCTTGATTTTCTGCAGCAAGCACTTCAGGTCCTCCTCAGTTTCAGCAAGAAGGGTTGTGTCATCTGCATAACGCAGGTTGTTGATAATTCTTCCACCAATCCTGATGCCACATTCTTCTTAGTATAGCCCAGCGTCTTAGATGATCTGTTCTGCATACAGATTGAAAAGGTATGGAGACAGAATACATCCCTGACAAACCCCCTTCTTGATTTTGAACCATATAGTGTCTCCTTGCTCTGTTCTGACAACTGCCTCTTGGTCCAAGTATAAGTTTCACATTAGCACAATCAAATGTTCTGGGATTCCCGTTTTTCTCAGAGTCAGCCACAGCTTATTGTGATCCACACAGACAAAAGATATAAAAAAAGATGTCCATTCTCAAGATCTGGAACCTTACCTATTTGATATTAAAAATAACTGAATTCTAATGGCTTTGAATCATTATTTTTTTTTTTTTAAGGATCCAGTTAAGGTACAAACGAATAGCACTTTAGCAAGATGTTCCTGAACTCTGACATTCTGATTAGTTTCTCAAATTTAAACTCGACTTTCTTCTTTCTTTATTTCTTCCCTTCTTTTTACTGTAAGAGTTACTTCTTTTCTTTCTTTCTTTCAAAGTGTGTTTGTTCAGATGGCTTCCCACTCATCTTGCTTCAGGGTTTCGAGGGGCTGCTTCCGTCTGATGGGGCATCCTTCAGTGAACCTTGTTTCCCCTCCTTAGGCAAAAGACAGGGGAGCAGCCAACACGCGAAACTACTCTTTGTGGTTGGCAGAAAACCATGGTGATCTTGTAGCATTTTAGTAGTATTTGTAGTATATTACATGCGCACAGTAGGACGTATCTGCACCAGGCATTTCCTGTGTTTCCTCTTTTCAGGGCGAAGGAGGTCTTTTCTGAGACATTTGTTCACACAGGGAGATTGTCACTGCCAGAAGGAAGGGGCTATTTCTTGATCTGCTAATATTTATGCATTTTAGGAGAGCTTGCCCTTTCTACCTCTTTATTTGGGGGAGGTTAATTTTTATTTTATATTGGTTTGCATACAAAGTTCACATACATTGTGTTTCACACTATCCTTCATTTACATCGTGTTTCATGAAATCATTCCTATTTATAATGTTTTATAAATTTAATCACCATTGACCTATGCCCTCCATTACCCCATCTTTCCAGATCCCCACTGGATCTTTCCCATTTCCTTTCCACCTCCTGATTTCTACCTTTTTTTAACTAATCTTTCCCTCTCTAATCATGTTGTTCTCACTGTTTCTGTTCTAGATATCCCTCCTTGGTTAACTGTTGGGAAATTATGTTGAGCTGTATTTTTATTAGGGAGCGCTGGTGGCCTCGTGGGTAAGAACCTGTGCTGCAGTCCCAAAGGCACGCAGTTCAAATCCACCAGCTGCTCCTGTGCAATTAACTGCCTTTGAAAACCCACCTGAGGGTCAGCTACAGGTCGGTTCTGACTTAGTGGTACACAGCATCTGACGGCTTCCTGGTGAAAAGCTATGCTGCAATTCCAAAGGTGCACGCTTCGAATCTACCCCCACCAGCCGCTCCACGGCAGAAAAGATGGGCATTCTCCTCCTGTGAGATTTACAGTCTTTGAAAACCCACTGGAGAGTCAGCAGTGGGTCAGTTCTCATTCATTGTCACACAACAACACAGTGGTAGTGATAGAAGCCGCACTGCAATCCCAAAAGCATGTGGTTCAAACCCACTTGCTGCTCCAAGGAGAAGGATGGGCAGTCTCCTCCCGTGTGATTGGTTGTTAGGTGCTGGCAAGTCAAGTACGACTTACACAGCAACCCTATGACTTGAACTCTGCCCTATCACTGCCCTCAGCACTTCTGGCACACTCGAAACCACTGCTGAAGTCACTGTGTCCGTCCATCTCATTGGGGGATCTTCCTCTCCTTCTCTGACCCTTCATCCTTCCAGACACGAAGTCCCTTTTCAAGGAATAGCCTCACCTAACTGCATGTCCAGAGTATGAAAGCTGTAGCTCCACCATCTTTGCTTCCAAGGAGCACTCAGGCTGCACTTTTCCCCCCAAGACATAGCTGTTTGTTCTTTTGGCAGTCCGTGGGATATTCAGCACTCTTCTCCAGCCCTACAACTCAAATCAAAGGCATCAGTTCTTCCCCTGCCATACTTACTCACTGTCCAGCTCTCTGAAGCATAGCAGGTGATTGAGAAGACCATGGCCTAAAAAAGGTGCACCTTAGTCTTCAAACTTACATCAGTGCTCTTTGGCATTCTGGAGAGGTCCTCAAAGGTGGACTTGCCCAGTGCAGTATGTCTCCTGATTTCGTGACTTTTGGTACCAAAGTGTTGATTGTTGATTCAAGTAAGATGAAACGATTAACAGCTTCAGTCCTTTCTCCATCTGTCTTAATGTTGACTGTTGGTCCTGCAACGTGACTAGCTGCCTTTGAAAACCCACTGGAGGGTCAGCTATGGGAGAGTTCCAACTCGAAAGAAGCCAGCAACGGTAATGATTAATTTAGGGCACTCTGGTGGCCAAGTGGTAAAGAAGCTGTGTTGCAATCCCAGAAACACATCGTTCAAATCCATCAGGGGGGAGGAGGGGTCATCTTCTCCCAGGCTGTCTACTGCCTCTGAAAACCCACTGGACAGTCAGTTAGGAGTCACTTCCGACTTGGAGGCACACAACAGCATGATTATTTAAAATTAACATATTAAATTAACCAGAAGAAAATAAATCTGAAGGTGGCTTCTAAGCCTACCCAACACCTAAAAATCTTTTCTAATATAATGCTTGAAAGCCTAGTGATTAATTAGTAAATGAGTTTGTATTTTTAAAAATTTAGCAGAAGGATTGAAAATTAAGGAATTCATGAAATATTATACAAAATGGATAACCCTGGAAGATACTATGCTGAGTGAAATATCTCAGTCACAAAGGGACAAATACTGTATAGTGCCACTGTTATAAAACAGGACTGACATTGAGGTTAGGGAGAATATAAGAAAAGAGGGTTTAAATACTTTATACTACATTGAAACAGATGAGGGAGAGAACTGTTTGAAAGGAATATATGATTAGGTCTTATTTTCATGACAAGGGTCCAGAATGAGAGCTTCATGGGGGAGTAGGCTAGGGGGGGATTGTATAATAATGAAAGTTTGGGGTTTTTTTTACTTTTCAAAGAGAAAAACCAACTGGGGGGAGGTGTGGGCAGGGAGGAAAATGTGCAACAATGAATGAATGATTGAAAATTCAAAGTCTATAAACTTTCATTAACATTTCAATTAAAAAAATCTAGCAGTAGGTTCCATTTTTCATGTATTACATTAAAACTAAAGTGACCAGAGTGTATTAGGTTTTTCCAGCTAATGGACTTCATGAAAAGAACTCTGCTTACACTAAAAGCTACCAAGTGCTTCGTGGGTGTGAGCCATTTTTAAAACAAGGACCAGTTAGTTTAAGTTGTCGAAATACTGAGAAATGAAAGAACCCCAGGATCACCACTCCTTATAGACGGCCTGGCTGACAATGCAAATCAACTTCTGTGGTCACCACATCACCTCTCTGAAAGCAAACTGAAAACTGCTGTGTAAAAGCTAAGAAATGTCTGGGTTTGTTGGGTTGGGTTTTTTCCCCCCCATCTTTCTGTTGTTCTTTATTTTCAGCCAAAATTCACGTGAGAAATCTTTAAAAAAAAAAAAAAGTGGGTAAGTAGGCATAAAACTGGAGGAATTCCTTAGAGGCTAGAAATAGCAAGAAAAAAACTAATTAACAGGTGTGGCTAGCAGTGGAACTGGCATCCATCCACTGGGGATTTTTCCATTGTTATTTCTGGCAGCCGAAATCCTGGGGAAAGAAAGTAGAGCCCGGGACCTGAACGGAAAGGTTGATCAGCTTAGAACCCTCATCCCTTCCCTGCCACTTCACCTGGACGGTAGGGTTGGGAAAGAATTTGTCTGTT